ACTTACATAACTGCAGCTTATTTTTAATGGTCTTCTATCTTGCTTTGTTAACAGGCTGACAAAATGTAATTTAGGACTATAAGCTGTGAGCCCCACATGGAGAAGAAAAGCCTATAATTCACATCATGCTCTGGCTTTTAAGACTTGAGAGACGGTGGCGATTGTACGGCAGAATGCAGCTCGCAGGGCAATATCCATTTACATGCCATTCGAAACCTTCGGGCTATGCGGAGCACTGCAGAGTGCATCATAAAAAAAAAGAAAAAAAAAAAAAAAAGGAAGAAAAGAAGCCGGTTTAGTTACAATTGAACTGACATGATGGCAAATTAATTCATAAGGTAAGAGGGAGAAAAGGAGCCACGGCTCCATCAGGGCGGCTGCATACCTAGTGATGCTGGCAGGTCGCAGGCTTCGCTTTGCATCACTGATTCCTCACCCCAGATTTTCCGCCGTTCCCTCGGTATGAAGCTGCAGAAAGGGGGCACTGCATTGGATTGGTGTTTCCCAGGCAAACAGAATGGCAAAAGGAGCCAACGTTAAAAAAATAATCGGAGCTGTGTGTGCTGGGAAATCAAGGTTATCAGTCAACATTTGTTTTCTCCTCATCCAGCCTGAGGTTAATCATTATTAAGCCTGTTTTGAGAAAGGCAGGGTGAGGGCTGACCCGTGGTAAGCCCAAATGCCACCAGCAATTAGCCAGGGCCATGCCTGATGTGCTCCATGGTTTAGGTGGCAAGTGTCAGAGGTACAGATGGAGCACCTTGGTGACCAATACACCACCAACCTATGTTGCTGCAGCTTTTTTTTTTCTGGTGGGAAGCATTTCTTGTCCGTGCCTGTCATTAGCAGCTCCCTAATGACCTTGTGTGCCCTGGGTACCTTGCATGGAGTACCTTGCATCAAGAATATCGAGACAAAAAGTCTCTCGTATATCTTGCAGATACACACCTAGGAGTGCAGCACTTGGGTCATCCAAAACCTTGCCTAAGGGTCATGCAGGCAGCCCAAGGCCTTGTTCTTAGGAAATGATGTGAGTTGCCTTCTGCTGGCAACACAGGGATCTCCTGGAGGTCCAACCTGATCTCCTGGAGGTCTCCCTGATCCACCTTCTTCCCACAGAGAAGGCTGTGGGCTGGTGGCTGTTTGGTGGTGGTACTGTATGGCCATGCACCTTCATGGTCTCAACATGTCACGTCTCTAGGATATATAAATGTCTGCAGGGAAATGCCTCTTCAGATCTGACAAATTTAATTTCTTTCTTCAGTCCTTGCCATAAACACCTACCTCTTCCTGTTTTTTTCCTGATCCTCGTTGTCTTTACTTAGAGGATTTGTGCCTTGAAGACACAACAGGGAGTTGGAAGCCCCAGGTCTAACCTGTGACAAACAAAAGAAATAAGTCAATGATTTAAGACTGAAACTTACAGGGGGCAGCCTTGCCCTGGTCCTGCAGCCAGAGCAGAAAACCCCAAAGGCTCTGTTAGAAAGGAAGCATCAGGCAGAAAAATATGGGAAGTCTGGAGCTGGATCCCACATAGGAATGGGACCAAGTGCAACATCCTGGGAAAAGCCACTTTGTTCTGCACGGAGATGCAGGACTCGCAGGAGACACAACAGGTTCTCCATGTATCAAAGGCACTGTGAAACGTCTGACGTGGGGGGATGGCTGTCGTGTGCCTGCTCAGAGCACTGCCGGCTTGAAGCAATGGAGGATTGTGCAACAGAGGGTCGGAGAACCATTGGGTGAAAGACAAGCTCCTGCTTGGAAGCTGAAGAAAACACTTGGGAGATCTTGCTCAGGATGACCAAGGATGCCACTTTCTTGTACAAGGATGTCAGCTTGGGTGAGAGCATTTACTGAGCAACTTCTCCACACACCAAGAGTGGGAGGAAATTCTGCTGAGATGACCACTCTGCTTGAGACGACTTCAGAGACAGCTGTGGCCACTGGTATCACTGTGGCTGAGAGCCTGACATGACATGATGCCACAAAACTAAGCTAATGAACTCCTCAATGACACCAGGCAACTCTCCCGGGTCCAAGCTGTGACTGCAGATGGCAGCAGCACTGCCAGGGACTCGTGCCCCTGCTCCCTCCTGCTGGCCCAGGAACCCGAGTCTCACCAGAAATAAAGGCAGAGACAAGAAACTCCTGAGCCCTCATTGACATCTTGGGCAAACAGGGTGAATTTTAAGATTTTTTATGTTTGCTAACTGCAACGCTGGTGGTGCTTTGGTTAGGTGAGGACGGCTGTGTGGTGACAGCCCTGCAGTGCAGCACTTGGTGTTGCCCCTGCCTGGTAGTTAGGACTCAACAGAAGCAGATCCCTGCCGGTTCTGTTGCTGTAAGTAGTTTCTAAGCAACACCTCTGCCTATATTTATATGTGTAAATACATAAACGTATCACTCCCGCTCAGGACGACCTATGCCAGAGCCACGGGTAGAGTGGCTGTTAGCCCAAGCACTTCAGCAGAGCTGGAAAATGGTGTCAGGGGATGCTGGGGACTCCACTCCTTTCGTGCGGGCTCTCAGGAAGGCGACTGTCAGTGCTGTTTGTGATGACAAACTTGATCATTAAAAGCTTGATGCTGCTGTTAGTGGGTAAAATAATTTATTTATTTTTTTCCTATCTACTGAATTCCCGAGAAGCAACACGGGTTAGCTGATGGAGTGGGGTCATCCTTTTCACATGGCAATCCCCCTTTCTTGCCAGATAAATTCAGCAGAGGAATTATCTAAACAACACCATAAAAAATGACACATAGTCCTGCTATTGATCGCTTCTATTGCTTTAATAGTACTAAGCAGAAAAAGTGGTTAGACTTGGTGAGATTTCTGTTATAGAGAACATCAGAGAACTTGTTTCTGCTCTGGTAGATTTTTCTCTGGCTTTCATGAGAGTTTCAAATTCGTAGTAAATAATAAAATTTATCAATGATATTTAACTTCTAGCAGATAGTAAATAATAATGATGCATTAACTATGCTGCTCTATGACGTCCTGCTGCTGCTTTGAATTTTCTTAATATAAATTTCTCCTGAAGTTCAGAAGTTACCTAATTTTAATGAAATGCCACTCATGCCCTGATTGTGGATGGAGGTTTTGCCGCACCGTCTCGATTCGAAGCTGGCAGGTGCCAGTGGAAACAACCCTGCATGCTGGCTAATCGACTTCAGAGCTGCCAAGGCATGGCTGGAACGGGCACCTTTGGTCAGAGCAAAGAATAATTCTGCCCTGGCAGCACCTACTGGACAGTGTCAGTCATTTAATTTCACGTTTTCTCTCAATATTCCTGATGCAAGGTACTCCGTTAAATATCAGATGACAAATAAATGATTTGTAAAGGCCGTGTACAGCAGACAGCCTTCTGCTCATTTCTTGCATGAAACTGTTTATTTATTTCCTACAAAACCTGTAGAGTGGAAATTCAGACGTTTAAATTGAACATAATTCTTCCGACACAGCAGGATAGCTGCTATATTCCACACAAAGCCATCTGTAGCAATAAAAATACAACATAAAACCCAGACCCCATAATGAAAAAGTCCTCTTCATTTGCTAAACCTTCTCTGTAATAGTGACGCTCTTTGCTTCCCTCTTGCTTAGTGGTACTGCAAGACGGGTCAGCCACGCTGGTTTCATTTGCTTCTTAGAATATGAAAATATGTCACTACAGGAGGTACCTCGTTATCCACCTGCCAAAGCCTTCTCCGTGGCACTACGGCTGCTGCTTTGTTCTGCCAGTCTGGGTTTTTCACCTTTCTCCTTGTGACGGGCTGGGCACCAAAGGATGGGGGATCCTTTTGGGGTGCTACAGCCTAAGCGCTTTCAAGGATGCTCGGTCTTAAAAGTTCCTCTTTTTTTTTTTTTCCTTTTCTGAAATGTTTTCTTTTCCAGGAAGGAAAGCCTGCATGACTCTTGTCCCTGCTGGGGACTGCAGAGCAGCCCAAGCCACTGCTCAAAAGTGAGAGCCCACGCCGTGTGCAGGCAGCCTGAAGCCTCCCTCCTCCTCCTCATGAACCCAGCTGGGGCATCCTCATAGCACAGGCTTGAAATTTCACCCAATATTGATGAGAAATGTGTCTTTTGGGAAGTAGACCCTGGGGTTTGAGTCCATGGACATACTCTGAGTCTAGTTCTTTAGGCTTCTTGTAGGCAATTTTACTTCGGATTTCATCACAGATTTGTCTTGATGCTCTCTGGGTCATTTCCTTGGCTGTGCCTGCCGGCGTCAGGACTGTGGCTAGAGGCAAATTGATTCTTTGATGTCCTTGCAAATGAATAAAAAATCATTTCAAATACAGTTGAGAAAGGTTTTTCAAGCTCCTGTGAACAGCTACCTTTTAATGCTAGATTATTCTGGCTTCAGATCTTTTCCCTGAAACCGCCCTCGAAATAAACATGCAGAATCCCATAAAATCAGTTAGGGTAAGGCAGAATGCATGCCTGCTGTTCATAATAAATGATCCAGCTGACGATGAAAATTTTAGAATTAGATCTGGTCTTATTTCTCAAATAGAAATTAGATCAAAGAAGAGATGAGAATTACTTTTTTTTTTTTTTTTTTTTTTTTTTTAACACACAGAGCACAGGAGTGTATTTCTCCCTCTTTTGTACACACATGGAGTTCCCCCAGGCGAGTGTGGTGTCAAGAAGAGGAGAGTCTAGCTCGCAGATTTGGGTGCAACCCAAGCCAGGACTCTTGCAGTCAGTACGAACCCTGATGTTTGCTTCAGTTGTTCAGGCTCTGACTTTTAGCTGCGTATTTTCCTTTAAAGTAACTGCACGCCAGCTAATTGTTTGTGTGTGTATGTATGTGCATGTGGACCAGATGCACAGATCTGCGGACCCCAGAGAATTTCGCTGCTTTCAAAGGATGTGATGTAAAATTCTGTACACTAAATTTATTTCTTCCCATGCAACTGTGTACAATCAGTTCTAATAGGAACTAGACACTTCCTGCACGTCTGTTTTTTAATGCAATCTGCTAAGTTTTATAAGGGCCATATTTAGCTGTACATCCTCTCAACTGTTAACTGTATTATTCTTTTAAGGAAGTCATTAACTGTTCACTAAACTCTTCCTATAGTGGTTTTACAATGCAAGCACGGTGAAATGTGGTTCTCTGCAGGGTAAATAGTTCTTCGTAGTGAAAGAGTCAGCGCACACATATGTTACTAGAATAAACGAGGAGAACCTCTAGAAATGTTTGGCATGATCAGCAAATAATTTCTGTTCATCTGCCCTCCAACAGCTGCTAATGCAAACTTCATACATTTAAACGACTTCCTATTTTTTTACAGCTGATCCTGTGACTATCACTCATCCCTCCCAGAAATGATATTTTCAGTTGCATTTTCGTTTCAGCTTGAAGGAGAGAGGTGATTTGCACATCCTGGCTGGTTCAGCAGTTGCAGCTGAAGAAGTTTTCTTCATTGCGTCATCCTGGACCAGTTCCTACGATTCATCTCGCACTGCTCTGCTATACTTTCCCTGTACAAAGTGGAACCATCGACTTTCAGCCTAGAAGGTCTATTTTAAGATTAAGGGGACATGAAATGAGGAAGATCGTAAGTGAAGTCTCTGTGAAGAAGTTCACTGCACTTCCTCTTTATGAAAACAAACGGCAGGCTGCCTCTGGCAAATATGAGGGTTTTTTTAATGGAAATGTACAGTGAAGACCTTAATCCTTGAACCTGTCACAGCCCTGTTCTGTGAAGCCTGTGTGGAGTTTACATGGGAGCTATAAATCAGAAAGAGATAGCACAGAAATAAGCAGTCTGTACTTCCCTTGGATGGCAATTGCATTAAACTGCAGGTAAGGTTTTGCTCTATCTCTTAAGCACTTGAGTAACCAAATGTCAACAAATTAGAAACTGCATTCCAGCCTTAACTCACCTGCATCCACTTCCTTTGCAAAAGCAAAAAAAATGGGCAATTATTGCTTTCCAGTGTGTATAGTTTCATCCTGTGGTTTACGGTTCTTCCTCTAACCGAGACTTGTGTAATTCTGCAGCAGGTTAACAAGTGCCCAAATGACCTCAGGCATACCAAGGTCAGGAAAACTTCCATCTCCAGCCCCTCAGGACCCTGAAGCCACTGGAGATGGATCAGTGCAGCAGCAGTCATGCACACACTCCCATATCACCATTTTCTACCATCCACATCTGTGGGCTTCTCCTCCCACAACAGCAATAGACTGGCATCAAAAATGAATTTTTCTTGAGAATGATGATGGTTGGGCTCTTTTCTCCTTTCTGGCTCTGTCCTGGGGAAGGTGAGAATAGATGGGGTCAGACCCAGGTCTTGTACGGTAGCAAAGGAATGTGGGGAAATGGTCTCACGTTATGGCGAGGGAGGTTTAGATTGGGCATTAGGAAGAATTTCTTCATGGTGTGTCAAATGTTGGAACGGGCTGCCCAGGGAAGTGGTGGTGTCCCCATCCCTGGAGGTATTTATGACATGTGTGGATGGGACACTGAGGGACATGGTTTAGTGGTGGGACTTGGTAGGTCAGGTTGATGATTCGATTGATGTTCTTGAAGGTCTTTTTCCAAACTAGACAGTCCTATGATTCTATGAAAATGCTGAGGTAACACAAAAATAAGACCCAGTGTCCTAGCTGGCTGGCAACTTGTATTTCAAAAGAAAGAAACAAAGGGATATCTGGGAAGGGTAAAACCTTGAAAATATGTGTCCTCAAAACAGACTAGTGACGAGCTTTGTGAAGGCATTCACATGTGTCTAGATGTGGCAGAGGAAAAGAAGGAGGAAAATAAGAGAAACGAGTGAACACGTACACTGAGAACAGCTCAGTAGGACCAAGTTTCCCAGCCAGTTTCCTCAGCTCATCGTGGGATGCTTGCAGCATTGTGGCCCCAGCCTGACTTGTGATTGGTCTGCCCAGGAGAAAATTTGGGGGAGTGGAAGGAGGCGATAGGTTTCGTCTTCAGTCTTGCCAAAGGACACCTCACGCAGTCGCAGGCTTTGCCAAGCCACAGGGCCACACCACATCCTTCTTCCCAAAACTGCAAATCCCAAGGGTGCTGATAACTAGGAAAATCCAGAGTAAAATATTTAAGAACTTCTTAGAAACTTTTCCCTTCATCTGCATTTCTAGGAGGAGCCTCCAAACTCTCAAGGTTGCTAGCCTAACATTTGGCATCCAATTAAAAAATATTTATTTTCAACATCCACATATAGGACTTTTTTTTTTTTTTTTGGTCTGCCTATAAAGCTCTGCTGTGTTGAAGTGTTTGTAGGATTTGTGCCTTTATGAATGAAACAATAAAAAAATTGAACTCTACATGCCCTAGAACAAAGATTCCTGTAGGATTAATGTGACAACAATGAAAAGAAACTATTTCAGCTGTCATCAAAATTAATGGAAAAACTACCTCCCAAAACCACATACATTTTTAGAAATGGAGCTTATTTTTTTCAAAAATACGTTTTGTTTTGCTGCTCAGGGAATGCATCTCATTATGCGGCAAGTAACATCTCATGCTGGCAGTGTGTGCACCAGGTGTGGTCTGACTTGCCCAGGATGGCTGTCATCTGCACTTTGGGCTTCCAGCGAGATCCCAGAGCCTCACCAACAGCCACCAAACAAGATGCTGCATGAACCCACTGAGACAAGCATGGGAAGCTTAGTTTTAAGAGCAGGAGTACACAAGGAGCTATTATGAAATATATAATCTTCACTATGAAATGGATGAAGAAAGCGCTGTTTTGGTTAAGGAGCAGTTGACCTCTATTACATGCAGGAATAAATGATGACTTGGAGTATGAGTCAACAGGGAAAACAGTCTCTTGGATGGAGAATTTTGGTCAAAAAAACAAAGTCAGGTGCCTGGAGGGAGGCAGATTCCTGCATCATGGAGCTGGTGAAGAATCTCTCAACGGATGCAGAGAACCAGACAGCCTTGCCAGGGCTCCTCGACCAAAGGCTGCTGACAAAACTCCTTACCAGGGTCTTAGGGAAAACAGATGTGGGCATAAGAGAGTAAAGAAAACATAACTTCATGACTTTCCAGTGGTGCCCAGTGCCAGGACAGGAGGCCCTGGGCACAACCTGGCCCCCAGGAGGCTCCCCCTGAGCACCAGGAGCCCTTCTGTGCTGTGCAGGTGACAGAGCCCTGGCACAGGCTGCCCAGAGGCTGTGGGGTCTCCTCCTTGGAGCCCTTCAGCAGCCGCCTGGACGTGGTGCTGGGCACCCTGCTCTGGGTGTCCCTGCTTGGCCACGGGTGGCATTGGGTGGCCTCCAGAGGGCCCTGCCAGCCTCAGCATCTCTGGGATCTATGGTTTGCAGTGGAGGAACACACCTTGTGGAGGAATTTACCTTGTAATTTGTGCTAGGACGTACTGATCAATATACCTGTAAATAGCCTAGACTAGGAGGTGAGCAGCAATGTGAGAACATTGCAGGTAAATATAAAGCAATGAATAAGGGAAGAAAAATCTCAACTTCACAAAAAAAAAAAAAACATGGCTAATTATACTGCTGAGGAACTGGTCACTTTGTGGTTATGACAGCTAGTTCTGTGTTTCTTCTCAGTTTTCACTAGTGTTCATAGAGTATATTTAAAGTCATTTAGGGAAGTAGGAACAAAATGGAAAACATCGCTGTAGATCTCCATGGCTTGCCCAGGTACTGCAGCCTGGTGCAGCCCTCGTCCCCTCAAGGCCAAGGGGAACATCGGTGTGGGGTGACCAGAGAGCATCCCATGAAGCACACAAGAGGGATGGCAGAGGAGGCATGGCTGTCTCCCGTGGATCAGAGGAGCAAGGACGGGCTCCCCTCCATGGTAAGGAGACACATTTTGGGGAGGTTGTAAGAGTCTTCTGGCACAAAGCAGTGATAGCCAGAGCCATGCTGAAGACTAGCAAAAGGAGGTGGTCCTTCAGGCGATGGAGGATGCATCTGTGGGACTCCCAGCTGAGGAACACGTTGGAAGGACTCAAGGGAGCCTGGACATGGTAACAAGGGGGAGGTCCATGAAGAATTGCTGGAGACACGGGAATCACAGCTGGCTCAGGAGGTTTCTGGCTGAAAATAGCTGGAGGCTGGGAGAGGACTGAAGGTTAGTACCACGTGTGCTTGCTCCACTCTTTGAACCCAAAGACTACAGAACAAGGCACCCAGCGCTCCCCACGGCAGAGCTGTAAAGTTCAACCTGATGCAGAAAACAGATGATGAAAGCTCCTGAACATGTATCTCCTAGTGGCAATGCTGGTAGCTCCAGACTGCCAGCAGAGTGTTGTATGCATAACTACACCCTAGATAGATTTATTTCACTTTATGTTTTAATTAAATTCATGTATGTAAGCTGCAAAAATAAACACTTCCTGGGGACTGAGAAGAGCTGTGCCGGATGGGATGACATTCTTTGGTTTTGAATCAGATCTCACAACCAGTGAGAAAGTATGATTAAGAAAGACTAAAACATCTGGAAAACAGCTGATGATGATATTCCCCCAGGGGACATAATCAAAATATCCTGAAAGAGTATTTTCATTGCAGAAGCAAGGCCAATATTGCACACAGAGAGAAGAATTATCTTTCTTGGGAAAATAAAAAAGTGTCCTTGTCCAAGGGGCTTTTTTTTCTCCTCTCCATTAAAATTAAAAAAAAAAAAAAAAAAAAAAAAAAAGGAAACAGTAATTCCTCCTTTTTCGGACAATGAAAATAAATGCTTACTAATATCTCCATATTTAGACAGGCCGGCATACTTAAGGGATGTACTCACTCGTTTGGTATCAAGGGTTCCTTTGTTTGCAGAAGCAAAAATAGCATTTGAACAACCCTCGTGGACACTTCTTCCTTCAAGCCCAACGTGGCTGTAATACAAAATTGCGAGTGCTTCAAAACCCTTTTGAAACCAGAGTCAAGAACCTGCTCCTTAAAAAGTTGCTGGAGATATGGGAGAGGTTTGCAGGGTTGCACACAAACGCCAGCCAAGTCCTGTCGGGTTCATCCCAGAGCTGTGCTTCAGGCCATGGTCAGCAGCTGTCTGATAAGACCACGCTCATTAGTGTTGCTTCTTAATTGGACAGAGAGATGGCTGTCCATCAGAGCTCCTTTCCGTGGAGGATGAGTGCTGTCTTTAAGGCCTGAACTCTCTTCCTCCTGGCAGAGCCAACAATTGCTCTTGTTGGGCAGCTCCTGACAGCTCAGCCACCTGACAGAGCCATGACCATCTCCAATCGCTATGTTTGCTCCTTGTCTTCTCCCTGCAGGTGTGCACATCCCCTCCAAGCCCTGATCCCAGCCAAACCACCGTGACCACCTGCGCCATCACCAAATCCTGCCATGTCAGGGGGAGAAGCAATGCATGGAGAGCTCTGTTGGCTCAAGCTTTCCTTCAAGACCTACTCAGTGAAATTGAAGATTTGATCGTGATGGGTTGTAGCAAGTCTCTCAGGTCAGGAACAGCGCTGGTTGGCTTAAGAATGAAGAGAATGGAAACCCTACATTTAACGAAGCACCGGAGAGGAAAATGATCTAGGCAATTCCCAGACTATTTCTCTCCCCTCCATAAAGTCTGGTTCTGGAAGACTCTGTGATTTAAAATGCGTTTTGCAGGGAAAGGCAATCACAAGCATGGGGGTAACTGGAAAATGGCTTAAAACGGTAGGAGTAGAGATTTCTCTTTAATAAGGAGCTGATCGTGTGGATGATGGAAATTTTACGGGTCGCAGATCTCATCTATCTGGACTCCAGTGAACCAACTGATGGGAGAACACGGGGGAAATTATTTGTTGAAAGGGGGAAGAGGGGATCTAATGACAAAGGCCAAGAAATAGGTAAAAAGCATCAATAGGGAATTACGAGATTAGAGGATAATTCTGGTAGAAGGGTCAGACTGAGGAGCAATTTTATTTATTTTTTGTATCTTGATTAATGGTGTTATGCTTTAAAACAGCGTGCCTGTGACACGGACCTCAGAACATTGTCAGGTTGGACTGGGATATTGGATGGGGAGAACGAGGTGACTTTGAAGGCACAAGTAACTAATGGGGATTATAGAAATGGAATGGCAAATGGGAATTCAGACACTTAGGGATCAAAAATGATGATTCCTACAATAAACCAGGAGTTGAATTAAGAGCAGAAGGAAAAATTGCAGGTGCCTCAGTTATTGGCAGGCCATAAATCACCAACACAACGTGACAAGCAATGAAGTAAGTACTGAAACATTTCCAGTGGAAATGGGAATTGTTGATCCTATTTTTCAAGGTACTGGTGAGATATAACCTAGAGGTTTGCCTTCGATTCTGGCTACCAGAAGTTGAAAAAGATAAACTAAGTCTGGGAAGGGCAGGAGCAGCAGGACACATCGAGAGTGTCCGAGCCAGGAGGACATCTGTTCCTGGACCTTGGTGTGTGTACATGCTCAACCTGGCCCACATCTCCTCCACCCTGCCAGAGCAAGGTCTGGGCAACCACCACCAGCAAGTCCCTGCTCTCCTCCAGGGGCACCTCCTCTGGGGCAGCTGCCCCAGGACATTGGGTTCAAAAGGAGCTGAAGAGTCTTGAGCTGGAGCTTGGTCCATTTAGCAAAGACCTCAGTGAGCTGCTGGACCCCGTCTCAGCCACCCGCATGCCCCAGGATCCTTGGAAGCTGTTGGCTCCGTGTTATCCCATCGGTACAGACCCAGCTGTGTTCCCAGAGGACCTCTGGCAGCACTGAACAGCCAGTTCCTGGAGTGTTGTGTAGAGCTGTAGAAATGGTCTACGGTTCTCAGTTATTCACCTTTTGCAATGGCATTTAGTCAACCCTTGCTTGCACCACGGCAGCAAAAGATTTCTTCTTATTCCTGAACTTGAGTACTGCCGCCTTCTGTTCTATTCCTACTGTATTTTTCTCAACTTCTTTTACATTGCTGAGGAAGAAGCCAGTGAATCAAACAGCTTTAAAACAACGTTTTTTCAGCATGAGATTTTTCTAATATGTCTTGTGGGCAGCAGTTGCTATTACCAGCCTCTTGTGCCTGTCTCTGTGGGATTCGTTTTCCCCTCATGGCAGTATTAAGTGAATACAATCCTGCCATTACCTACGGTGTTTCCAAGGTGAGTCAAGCAATTTCAGTGGGTTCTCGGAAGCTGGCATGCTTGACTGCAGCAATTTCTGTCACGTTGAAAGTGCCACATCCCAACTCATGGGGAGTAATTAGCTCCACTGTGTGGAGCCAACCCTGGTTACAAGGTAAAGGGATTGAGAAAATGTTGAGGAAGTGGGAGAGTTGCGATTCGAAACGTGGAGAGCCACCCAAGATCCCATGCTGTGAAAGTTGTGGGAGATATCTGCTAGTGGTACGGTGTGAGTCAATGCTTCTGTCCCTCTGCAGGATCCTCCCCCATGTCCTTCCTCACGCAGCTGTGCCGGTCAGGGATGATCCATATGGTTCCAGCTACTTGGATTTTCAGGATTTCTGCACGAGTTTCAAAGAGCTACTAGAATGTAATGGGAAATGTGATCACAAGGAGGCTTGTCTTGGTAGATTTCCTATTTAGTTAATAAGTCTGTTTATTTAGACTTAGCGATTTCCTGTGGTCTACAGCGTGTTTCCAGAGAGGAAGCTCAAGTGCTGCTGTATAACTGCTGTCCATAAGCAACGCCGGAGAAAGAAAATATACAAGCCACTTCCATTATTTCACGGTTCGGAAGTGATCGTGCTTCTTGGTAGTCACGCGTCTCTTACTCAGAGCTCTCCATGTACTTGCCCTTTCACGAGGTCACTTTCTCTTGCTAAAATTAATGCTGCCTAGATACTGATCTCGTGCCAGAAGAGCTGGTGACACCACTAACTCCACCACACCACACACATTGCTCTCCCCAGAAAACACCTTACCGAAGGAGCCCAGCCTGCCCCAGCCCCAGCTACAAGCTGGCCCAAAACGGGGTCCATTCCCCAGCACCCTGCAGCTCCAGATGACCTGCCCTGGTAGCACTGTGCTCACACTGCCTTATTCCACAGAGATACCCAAAAGGACTGGGTCACAGCCTGTTCTGCTGAGCCAGGTGTAGGACTGATGGCTTCTTGCCTTCCAACCCCCCACACCACGAGTTAAATTCCCATCTAGTGCTGCAGTGACATTTATTAAAAGCAATAGCAAAACCACTCTCAGAACTGTGCAGCATCCTGTTTCTGTCCGAAAACAATCCACTTACAAGGAGGAGCATCATCACTCAACACTACAGGAATTAATAGAAAAGGAAAATGAAGTGGGGCATGTTATGACTGGTTGCCAACACCAGGCAGCTCACGTTGTTCCACGGGAGCCTCTCAGAGTTCATCCCCATAACACCGATTAAATCAGTTGTCAGTAATCTGGCTAAAGATGGCCTATGGGGCTGAGGTCAAACAGAGGAAGGAAAATCACAGCAATAAAGGAAAGTGAATCCAGGATAACACACGCAAGAGCAAGAAATAAGAAACCCGTCTCTCCCCATCCAGCAACATGAATGGTTATTAAATTTCTATGAAATCACTACAGGTGTGTGTGCAGGGTGTATCATGTAGATATAAACCACATTATTGCAGGTTTCGGCTGTTAATGCAAGGACTAATGAGAGCAACCAAAATCTCCATGCTGTCCTCCTGCCCGGCTGGCTCCGTGCGAGCCTACGCCCTCCAAAGTACCGGGTGGTTTGCAGTGGGTAAGCCTGGGAAGGGATCTGGGAAACATGCTCACAGAGATGTTATATTTAAGGAACAGAAATTCTGACCAGCAAATTTGTGGTCAGGTTTTATCATAACATGTGTATTTATTGTTTACCCAGAAAAATCGACAAATTAACAGTTCTTCTTATAGCCGCAGCAACTGAAGGGATTGGTGCTGCCCGGGGTGTACACCAGGGCTCTGAAGCCAAGTTACAGTGTGCAGTTATAGCTGAGACTCTGCCAATGTAGATTTTGGAGTGAAACAATCTCTCCTCCTTCCTTTGGAAAGGCTGCCTCATGGACCCTTGAAGTCCCATGCCCCTTTTTGCTCCTGCTCATGCCCCATCTCCGTGCATGCCACCACCCGAACCGGCTGTCACCTTGCAGCAGAGCAAGCATCCTTCCTACAGCCATGGGCCATACATGGAAGCCCACCTGTGTGTCAAAATTTTAACCTCACGGGTGAAAAAACATTGGATGTGGGGAAAACGTTGGATGGGCCAAGCCTGCCCAGGTCTGCTGGATGTGAGGTCTCCAGCTTAGGTCAAGTCCAAGTGCCTGAGGCCAGCTCCAGCCATGCACATGCAGTTATGAGCAAAGATGATGCCTCATTCAGGTACATTTTGAGTGGGAAAAGAGTGATTTAGCCATCTAGAAACTTCACCAGGCTGGTGGGGAAGGCAGCCAGCCCAGTGGGTGTCACCCCTCTCCTATACCCGCAGCACCAGGCGGTGTGTGCTGATCCACAGCAGCTGGCGTGCCTCGGGGCTTGGGACAAACAAGTTCACAGGTGCCCCAGAAATCCCGAGGGCACAACTGGAGAAATATTGACAAACAGATGGACTTTAATTCATGCGGGCAAACTCTTATGCCATTGCATTGAGGGTGACTGTGTACTGTTCCTGCTTTTCCAGTTAGTCAGAGGTCATTTCGCTGGAAAGGGCGTGTTTTCTCACGTGTTTGTTTTTTTTTTTTTTTTACTTCTTCTTCTCTTTTTTTCTTTGAAGCATGAGTTTGGGGTGACTTTTAACCTACTTTCAGGATGGAAGTGTGTAGGGTATCCCAAAGGGAGCTCCATGGGCAGAGAGTCCAAAGGCTGCTGCGTGGCACTTCGTGGATGTGTGGCATTAGCAGCACTGTCTCACGTCCCAAGGAAACTTGCCTTGTGCCATCTTTGACATTTCCTTCTCCTCCCAGGCTGAAGATTTGTCTTTAAAATTATTAACTATTTTTCTGATTTAATAGGATTGGCAGGGGAGGGAAAAATCTATTGAAAATTGTTTCCCCCTCCCTTTTTAAAACAAACAAAAAAATCTCTATAGGAAATCATTTTACCAACAAAAAATAATTTTCAATGAAACTTTGTCAGGAAGGGAACAACCCATCTAGTCCCAGTTTCAGACCGATTTCTGGAGCTGTCACTCTCACTCGTGAAAGGATGGGTCTAAAATGCTGCCGACAATTTGGTTCTGGGACACCTGATCCAATGTACGTCATGAAAGGTAACTTTATATTAGGTATGCTAAAAAAAAAGGCATATAGATATCAGGTTTTCAGGCCATTATTAATATCCCAAGCATTAAAAGGTTGTTCACTGTGCCTATTTTATACAGCAGAAAAGCTGGCTACTGATTGCTACCAGCTTCCTCATGTCTCAGTCTGAAATTATTTCTGCCCTGAAGATTTCTGTTTGCTAATGTCTTGGGAGCCATTACACGAGAAGAGAAGGCGTGAGACAAAACCCTGTTTGCAAGACATTAGCACGTATTGGCTGCAGAAAAGAAACTACAATGACAATTAGATTTTGCTGTTGACAACAGAGCGGCTAATCACTGAAGCTAAAATCAGATTACACGAAATGAAAGTCTGTTGCCTGGCTGCGGCCGAGTTTCAGATGTTCTTAGAATAAGTGTACCAAAAGGAATTGCAATCCCATTATCCAAACAAGAACCAAAAGCCCAAATCGAATGCCAGAAAGGTTAAACAGCTCCTTCTCAGCTCCCTCCCTTGATTCATCCTGCGGCTTGAGCCCCATCTCCAGCCACATCCCATGCTCTGTGTGCTCCTGCCACCACCGTGCCGGGTGCTACCTTCAGGTCCCCACCAGCAGCACCAAAGCCAACCCACAGCACCCAACCATCAGCTTCAGCTTGAGAGACAATGAAGACATAAATTAAAAAGTCTCGTTATTTTCTCTTGCTGGTCTCTCAAGCTTTCCCCCTCTTTTTGCTCACGCACTGGTCGCACATAAATTCGACAACAAATCTTATCGCCTGCTGCACGCCCACGCCGTGGTCAGAGGCATTGCAATATAACGTTGGCAAATATTTTGGCTACTTGGTATTTTTGCAAGTTTGCTAGTCTTCAGCCAAAGTTTGCAGAAGGGTTTAACCGAAAGGTCAATGAAAGAATATCTGCATATTGTAAATCTAATGATCGGGATAGATGTAATTTGTTTAAATTTAAGAAAAAGCCAAAGTAAACTCTTTAAAGAAATTGCTCATATATTTGAGGCTTGCAGTGGGGTAATAAAAATAGAAATTATGTACATAGGACATACTGTGGTATAGAAACTTAACCTCAACATATTGATCGAGGCAGTTCTTGTCCCTGAATTAATATACGCCTACGAGTGAGTATTTGTTTTAGGGAAGATAAATAGAAAGGCCATGAATAAATATAAAAGATGAGATGAAATAGCCATCTGGACCACGTTAAACCAAAATGTGTAATTGAAGCAGAGAGTGCGTGCATCCTTTGATCCAGTCACGCACAATTGAAATGAAAGTAAATGGGCAATTCCTGTTATCAGATCATCAGAGAAGGGTCTGCAGCACGTGCATGTGAGAAGGATCGATGGAGGGCTGCAACACGAAGACCCTGAGTGTCTCGGGTGGCCTCACCCCAGGTGCAGTGCCAGGGCCAGGATGGTGTCAGCCCAAGCTGGGCTTGTGCTGAACCTGCTGAAACCACTCTGGGCCCCAGCTCCTCGCCTTTTTCCACAGGATTAGCTGCTTAGCCAGATGGCAGGGCAAGCTTGAACTCAGTTCCATGTGGCCACCTGCATCCCTTCCTGTGCCACAGCCCGTGGGCAGCTGAGCCAGGTAAAAGCAAGCCAGTAAAACATCGCTCCTTTTAAATCCAGAGCAGCTCTGCAAGCAACAGCACACTGGAGTGGGGACATGCTGTCTTGAAATGCCCTCCACCTGAGTAGAGGTGAAGACATGGGGGTAGGACTGCCAGAAACTGCTAAAGGGAGGGAAGAGCATGAGTTCTGCCTCTGCCTTTGAAGCCAGGGCTGCCTTGCTGGTGCCAGTGCTCACTGGTGTGTACCCACACCATGGCACTGGGGTGGGTAGAACGGGGGGGTCTTCTGGAAAGTGATGGCTTTAAACTAAAAGATGTCAGGTTTAGATTAGATATTAGGAAGAAAATCTTCACTCAGAAGATGGTGAGACCCTGGCACAGGCTGCCCAGAGAAGCTGTGGATGCCCCATCCCTGGAGGTGCTCAAGGCCAGGCTGGATGGGGCTTTGGGCAACCTGGGCTGGTGGGAGGTGTCCCTGCCCATGGCAGGGGGGTGGGACTGGGTGGGCTTTAAGGTCCCTTCCAACCCAAACCATGCTGTGATTCTACGAAGCTCTGTTTTCCTGAGCACTGCTGCCTCCTCTCCTAAGCAATTTGCTGCCCATCAGCAAATCCAAGCCTGGAGCAGTGCCTCTGTCTCCTGTCCCCTTGATCTCTTGGTCAAAGATGTCAGCCAGCCACAGATGTGGGTCAGGTCTGCAAACAGCCCCAGTCCTACATCCCAGTGCTGTACTGGCAGAAATCCAGTGGGCAAACTAAAAAACATCAGCAACTTTTCCCTGGTGTAGCTGATTTGGCTCACGTTCACACTACGAGGCTGGTATACCAGCAAGGTTTTCCAATGGAGCCATACCAATACCAGGAGAAATTCTCTGGCTCAATAAAGTTACCCCCAGAGAGACAGTCCCAGATTAGATTTTTCCTCTGGCTTTCCACCTCAGCCCTTCACTTCTATCATGCTTTTGAAAATAGCTGACCTGCTGAAGCCTTGAAGTGCTGATGCAGAACCCCCAAATGCCCTCGACCCTCTCATCTCAGCAGGACTCACCCAACCACTAATGCAATTGTACCAGTGCCACTATAAGACCCCCATGCTTAGGGACAATGACATTTGAAGGCACAGGCGTGCTGCTACGTGATCAGCCAGGGCCAGGAGACAGGGACACCTGCTCACAGCCCGAGCAGGAATGATCTACTTGTTGATTTGATGGCAGGCAGCAAATTGCCTAGGTGAGGAGGCAGCGATGCTTGGGAAAGCAGAGCTCGCTGAAGGCAGCTTCTAATGAATTTTTAGCTCATTCAGGAGCTGGCTGGGATTTCAACAGCTGGTTCAACCACAGCGGACCAAACCGTCTCCTAGCAGAGCCCTGTCTGGAGCAGAGGAAGAAGAAATGTTGCTAAATCCAAGCAAATCATTTTTCAAGATCCTGTTGCCGACTGCCAGCTTCAGGAATAGCTTTTCCATTTCTCCCGTGCTCCTCGGTTCTGCGCCTGCGGTTTAGCCCTGTGTTTAGCAGGATGAGTTTTGGAACAGGCAGAGTGTGCAGTCAGCTTTTTTGTGCTGAGGGCAACAGGCTGGATAATAACCTTGAAACAGCTCTGCGGCCAACAGCATAATATTATCTAATAATTTTGCTTCATTATTTTCTCAGCTCACAGAGCGAGGGAATGATTTGCAAATGCTCACTTATATATACACATATGTATGTATATATGCATATATGCATTTTCTGACATTGCAGCA